ACGCAGGCCCACCCAACTCCACTGCGTCCCAGCCCACGGCCCTAACAGTGGCAGGATGATCTGCCACTGGGTCAGCAGGGATTCCAGCCCCAACATGCTAACTCACACTGCGGCAGCAGGACCGGACTAGAGTCTGGTCCCCCTGGGCTACTTCCTACCACAGTCTGGGTGTAGGGTCCCGTGGTCCAAAGATCCCCTGTCTCATTGGGGTACTCAGCTGCGGGTAGCTCCAGCAATTCCTCAGGGTCCTCATCTTCCTCCCCGACAGCAAGGCATCGGTCCACTCCGGGTCTGGTCTGGGCTCTTGCAGAGGCATCTTTTAGGTTGCCAACCCACCCAGTTTGGCCGGGAGTCTTCTGGAAACAGGCTCTATCTCGCAGAGGCTATTGAAAGCAATCAGAGAGATTTTAAGTTGTTAAAAGTCCGGTGGCGCAGTGAGGCTAAGACAGGCTCCCTACTTGCCCTGGCTCCACGCCACTCCCAGAAGCTGCCAGCATGTTCAGCAGTGGGTCCTAGGTGGAGGCACGGCCAGGGGGTCTCCGCGTGTGGCCCCCGCTTCAAGCGCCAACTCCGCAGGTCCCATTGGCTGGGAATGGGGATCCACGGCCAATGGGAGCTGCGGGGGCAGTGCCTGCAGGCAGGGGCAGTGCGCAGAGCCGCCTGGCCGCCCCTGAGCCTAGGAGCTACTGGCAGACATGCCGCCGCTTCCAGAAGCCACCGAAGGTAAGCGCTGCCCAGCCGAAGCCTGCACCCCAAACCCCCTCCTGAACCCCAACCCCCTCCCTCAGCCCTGAGCCCCCTCGCGCACCCAAACTCCCTCCCAAATCCTGCAGTCCAAACCCCCTACCATACCCATACCACCTGCCTCAGCCCTGAGCCCTCTCCCACACCCAAACTCCTTCCCAGAGCCTGCACCCCGCATCCCCTCCCACACACCCGCCCCAACCCAGTGAAAGTGAGTGAAGGTGGGGGACAGCAAGCGATGGAGGGAGGGGGGCTGAAGTGAGTGGGGCGGGGCATCAGAGAAGGGGCAGGGCAGGCAAGGGTGTTTGGGTTTGTGCGATTATACAGTTGGCAACCCTAGCATCTGCTCCCCAGAAGAGATGTCTGGTCTCTCCTGTGGCTCAGCAGCAACTGAGTTTCAGGGCTCTGTCTCCTTTTCTACATCCTGTCCCGCCCTGATACTTCCGGTGAAGGGGGCGGGGCAGGGTGAGTTTGGCTCCGCCAGGGGAGCATAGTGGTGCCTCACACTCCAGTTCGGAGGGAGGCCACTCAGCCTCACTATAGGAGCATATAGACCGATGAAAAGTCTGCGTGGGGTGGGGGGACAAATGACACCCCTGTGGGTCATATCTGGAGGGGTCCTTTGCCTCCTTTAGCCAAGATACACTGGTTGCCTAATTGAAATAACTAGGGGAGCCAGATCTGCTGATGAGAGGCTCTACTGCCTTCCTTAAATGTCCTGTTCAGCCCCAGGTATATCTTTGTTTCATGTAGATAATCCAGTTCAGCAATCCTAGCCTTGAGGGGCTAATGCTTGAACCGCGGAGTGCCTTATTCATGATGCAATAAACTGGGAGTTCTTTATACTGACTAAATTGCTACTGGCTTGCTGGCTCCACAGGCCATATTGTACTAACCCTCCCTGATCCTAAGTCATTGTTTGGTAACTTTATCTATCACCTTGTTACCTGGTCTGTTTTGACTAGGTTTAAACAAAATGTCAAGATCTGTGGTGCTTTTCAACTTTCTTTACATCAGGTGAACTATCGCGGAGCTCCCCTAGGCCAACTCCTTGCTCCATTTGCTCCCTCAGCTATCTATCATTCGTTAACTTCCTGGATTGGGAGGTTTAAAGGCCAAACCACAGCCCCTCTCTGTGCTCAGCCACAAGCACACATGCTAATCAACACACTTGTAATACGGCCAAATGTTTTTATAATATTCCCAGCAGCTTTTCTTTAAAGCAGCCAGCAGTTGTAGTCACACAGGCACTCTCCCAGCTCTGACCACCACCGCTACTGTCACTACAAATTAGGTGGTTCATGGAACGATCTTCTCATGGAAGCCTGGGAGAATGCATTCTTTTCTCATTAGTTCCTCTAGGATTCAATGGGAAGATCTCGAGGATGCAAATGCCCCAAAAACAAATAGTCCCTCATCTGGAGGGTGACAGAGATTCATTTAAAAAAAAAAAGAAAATGGCAAGTCAGCAAATGAATAATTTAGGAGGAGATTTTCAAAAGGGTCTGAAGGATTTAGGAGCATCATGCCCCATTGAAATTCACTGGCACTTGGGCTCCTAAATCTATTAGGCACTTTTGAAAACCTCTCCGTTAAAGAATATTAATGTCAGAGTTGTACAAAGAAAAGTCTTCAAAAGAAGAATAAATGGTATAATATTACTAAAAGCTGTGAATGTGAAAAAAATGTTCCAAAGGCTCAACGTCCTATTAAATCAGGTGTCCCAAGGTGGGTACGGAGTAAGGTTGTGTATGTAAAATTTAAAGTATTTGCCCAGTGGGCACCTAACTCAGTCAAATGGGCTTTTTTAACCCTGCTGTGAAAAGGGAGTACAGAGGGAGGGGTGAGCAAGGAAAAAAAAACACCAAATGAAAGGGGGAGAGTGAAAGAAGAAAGGAAGTCATGCAATTCTTGATTAGTTCCTCAACCTACTTGTCCATCCCTGGCCACCAGAAGTCTTGTCGCAGTTGTTTTTTGGTTAGATCCATCCCTAAATGTCCTTCATATCCCAAGTGAATCAAGCAATCTCTCAGGGTATGTTTACACTACCCGCCAGATCGGCGGGCAGCAATTGATCCAATGGGGGTCGATTTATCGCAGCTAGTCTAGTCTAGACGCAATAAATCGACCCCCGAGCGCTCTCCCATCAACTCCTGTACTCCACCGTCGCGAGAGGCACAGACGGAGTTGACGGGGGAGCAGCAGCAGTCAACTCACCGCAGTGAAGATACCGCGGTGAGTAGGTCTAAGTACGTCGACTTCAGCTGTGTTATTCACAAGTGTAGGCACAAGACGGTGAGTTCTCAAAATCCATTCCTTTACAAGGGACAATTCACATGATGTACATCTATATGGTTGCAAATGTGCTGGTGTCATTGTCTTGTAGGGCCATCCATTGACTATGTAACTCTTTAGGTCCTGAAGTACCTTGTCTTCTCTCATAGCTGTTGCCCACTCTGATAGTGATGATTGACAATATATAGCAGTAGGAATTGCACCATCGCCTAATCTTGTTCCTGCCTCTCCAGGTATTAAGAGAAGTGTGAGACAAGGGAGACTGCTTAAAAGATTAGAAGACTCTGTTACCAGACTCAAGTGACAGTTGGAAGTGATGGTTTAAAGCAGGGGTAGGCAACCTATGGCACGCGAGCTGATTTTCAGTGGCACTCACACTGCCTAGGTCCTGGCCACCGGTCCGGGGGACTCTGTATTTTAATTTAATTTTACGTGAAGCTTCTTAAACATTTTAAAACCTTATTTACTTTACATACAACAATAGTTTAGTTATATATTATAGACTTATAGAAAGAGACCTTCTAAAAATGTTAAAATGTATTACTGACACGCAAAACCTTAAATTAGAGTGAATAAATGAAGACTCGGCACACCACTTCTGAAAGGTTGCCGACCCTGGTTTAAAGTCTTATGATGGTGATTCTAAAGGGGAAGGGTGTGTTGTATGTAGCTAGGTGCAGATAGCCAACCCAATTTGTAAGTTTGTTGCTAGGTAGTTTCTGTAGCTTTGAGTCCAGTAACTACAATTCCCAGGAGGCACCAGGGGAGGTAGAGGGAAAGGAGGAGAAGGAATGGAAGAATGTCCGCTCCGTGAAAGAGTGAGGGGAATAAACCTTACCTTTGCTGTTACTAAACTTCCTGAGTCTTCCTCAAAGAGGTTTAGGTATAAAAGCACAGTCAACTCCTGATAGAACGGCGGACTGAATACACTTTCGGGAAATGGGAGTTGCACATGTTTTGTCCCTGTCTACACTAGTGCACAAACCATGTTCAAACATGGCTGGGGTGGGGGGACCAGAGGAGTACTGTGTTTGACACCAGCTGTTAACTATTCCTAGCATACACACAGCCTTGTTATATAATAGTTTTATAACAGTAAAAAGAAAATCCATGTCCTCACTGGTGCTAGGCCCAGTTTAGACTGTAATGTCCACGTCGCTTTAGTAGAGGTGGTGAGAAATTGAAAAGCTGAATGAAAACAACATGTTACAGAAGGGGTTTGGGCCAAATGGCAACTGACTTTTGAGCATATGATTTAAAAAAAACACATGACACAGTAGCAGGTAATTTCCTCCGGTTTTCATGCCCTGTATTTATAATAGATTTAATTTGAACAGTAGTAGACTTTTAAAAATATGATCTGTGAAGCAACCCTCAGATACCTCAAAAATACAGTAGGGTCAGTGATACTCAGCCTTCAACAATGTACAAGCCATGTCATCATTGAGCTGCAGAGAGCCACAAAATAATAATCTGGTGAGATTCTGACATTGCATCAGTCTGAGACAATGCGGCATTTGGAAACTTCCTTGCACATCAACTACCTTCTCTCCTCTTCCTTTGACTACTGGGTTGGGTGGAAGGGTTCTCCCTCTCCCTCCCTCCGCTGGTGGCAGGGTGGGAAGGAAGCTCTGACTGACATGCATGTATCAGCCAGAAGGGGTGTGTTCCTGTGAGTGGGGTTCTGCTTGCTTTTCCTGAGACCCAGTTTGAAGCATGTGGATTCCCAGGCAAATGTGTGGACCTCAAAGCAACCACTTACAGGGCCATAAAGATAACAAGTTCATGAGCTATGATTTGCGTTTCATGGGCAAAAAAATGCACCCCACCCTTTCCTGGAAATGGTGCAAGTCAGCTGCATGGGTTAGACCTGCCTGCAGTTTGCTGAGCTAGTTTGATCACTCTCTAATTTTGATGTTTAAAGATTAATGGCACTAGCTATCCTGTTTTGCTCTTTCTAGGCCATTCATAGTGCTGCCACCCCTGATGGAATGGATAAGGGTTGCTCTGGCTCATGCAGGGCACCGTCGCAGTTTCTCTGTGGACAGTGATGATGTACGGCAAGCAGCAAGGCTCTTACTACCTGGAGTTGACTGTGAACCTCGACAGTTAAAGTAAGTCCATGCAAAGAAATAATGATTTGAAAAAACCTGTAGCTCTTTCATAGTGACAGTGATTTAATAGGCAGAGTAAGGGCTTTGTTATGTCCTCAGATGTGCAGAATGCTCATTCTCGTCACTGTATATCTTGTAAAATCAGCTACTGTATTCGTTCACATGCCTGTACGAGCCAGTTTCACAGGCTGCATGGTAATGTGCCTGCATGCCTAACAACTGGATCAAGCTCTGAATCTGTTCATAAAATCTTGGTTTGTCTTTTGCCATTACGTTCTGCTTTATAATGAGAGACGGAAGTCTTCCGCTAATTATGTCTGTTTCATTGTGTTCCTGTTACAAAATACTGAGATGTAATGTAAAGGGCTGAATATATTATATTGTTTTCTGCAATAGTGGTTTATACAGCACATTTACAGATAAAACCAGTTCTTGGAATAAAATTACATTTTTGATCCTGAAATCACTGTAATTGAAAGATGTTGCAGGTCTGAATAATTCAATACTTATTTTTAAATATGTTAGATGTGACCTTCTAATGAGGCCCTAAAGTATATGTTTTCAGTATATGTTTTTAACGCGCTGCCTTTTCTTACTCATATATGCATGTATAAAGCAGCTTCCTAGTGCATACTTGATTCTGGGTTATATTTGTTTTAGATGTTTATATGAAAAGCTCTTATGAATGTGTCAAAAGCGGAATTATTCATCAAAGTTGCTTAATAGCTGCAGCACACAATATAGCTGCCAGTCGTCAGACACTACCTTAGAGTCTAGTGAATTCAAACCCAAGCTCATATTTTTCAGCACCCTGTCACTCATACTCATACTCAGTGATATATGTATGCTTTCCTGCAACACAGAAGCATGGAAATCATATACATGATTAGGTCCGACAACCTGCATCATAGCAGATGTATTTTGTGGACTCTGGTTTTCCAACACACTTTCACTAAATATTATAATATTTTAATTTGAGACTGGAATAATGCTTTCTTGTTTGAATATTTTATTAAATATGTTGAATTTAAAAGCTAAATCTTAAGGTTCATATTTCAAATATGACTGTAACTGTTTCATATGAAGCTAAATATCCCGGGCCTGACTGTCAGTAGGACTTAACATTTCACTGTTTCAGCTGAAGTCTATGAGGTCCGCCAGTGCTCAGCTTCTTTGATAATGAAGCTCTTAATTTTAAAAAGGCACAACTAAAAAAACCTTTCCAGTTAAACTAGCTGATACAATTGTAGAAAAGTCAATATTATTTCTTCTAGCCCCTTGAAAGAACAAAAATCATGTTTTGATATGATAAGAATATACAGTTTTTCTGCAGTTAGCATGCGTATAGAAAAACATTGACTGTTTTTACCTATTCTGCCATTTTAACGTTTTAAAACCAGGTTATGTTAGAGTGAATTGTAGTTATGTCCCAGATAATTGACTGATTATTGAGAAGAAATCAGTGCTCAATTAAAGCCGCCATCCAGAATTCAGTTTATAAAGAAAAATAAAACTAAAGCCACTTTTCAGCTGTCTTACAGTCTGGAATGAGAATGGAAAGTATGATCTAGATAGAGTTAATGAGGGTTTGATTTCCATTCCCATTTCCCAAAACTAAGGTCACTGTCGGTGTAAAGGGGCCTTCAAGTGGGTGTTAATGTGACATTTAAAGGCCCTTTACATTGCCACAGTGGTGTGGAGTGTGCTTGCTGTAACTGAGAATCAGGCGCTGTGTGTCTGTAATACTGAGATCAAAGGAAAGGCTGCTGCTTGTTGGAGAGCATCATGCTATTAATTTGAAATCTCGCTACTTGTAATGTTTTATTTGTGCTCAGTACAGACCCTCAGCACTCCTCATTTCCACCCAGTCGTTGTACCAGCCTCTCATTTCTCCCCAATGAGCAGCAAAAGCCTTGCATCTCCCCAGTCCTCATCAAGCATCAATTCTATAGTTGCCAAGGCTTTGAAATATTTTCAAGAGGCAATTCTTCAAATAAACGGAGGGACTGAGGACAGCTGGAGGATTTTGTATGTAGTCTGAGACATTTTAGATTATTTTTTATAAAAAATATCCTAACTACTGGGAGCCTTAAGCCTGAAAATGTTATCAGTTTTTTCTTAAGGATCTTTTCTCTTACTGGTCCAGAAGGCAAAAACAAAAAGACACCCCCTCCCCACAAACAAAACAAAAAGAACCAAAACTAAATAATACACCATATGCTACATTCTGTGTCCTGTGTCTACCATTGTGACATTACATTATTCCTCTATGTTGATTCATGGCCTATTGTTTAAAAATGTAAGACAGAATCTGCTTCCACACTACAATACATATTCTAGAAAAGAAGTTTGGAAGAATCTCAAAAAACTTGGAGTTCAGGATCAGTTCAGATAAAAAATCGACTGTTCAGTGTCCTATCTGAACCTCCAGCAAAGAGATCTCCTACCATATTTTTGTGACGCTTCCCAGCTCAATTACACAAACCCTTATGGTCAGGTGCCTAGAATGTGGGATTGTAAATTATCTCAGCCTTATTTCTCTCCTTCCTCCCAAAATTTCCCGTCCTTCCTCCTCCCACTATCTTCCTTCTAGCGCCCCTTCTCTGTCTACTGTCCTCTTCTGCACAGAGCAGGGGAACCAACAAGGAGGCAATGAAATCTGTCAAGGAGTGAGTAAGATGACTGCCTGCCTGGTAGCTAGGAGATACGCCTGCAGCCAAAACTATCATCTTGATGATCAAGCGAAATCCTGCTGCTCTGTGGGACATAGGGAGAAAGTTAGGGTCTGTTTCAGTAAATAAGAATTGTTGGTCAGTATTATCTCGTCCCCCAGTGTAATGCTCTCCTTCACCATCCAAATTCCAGTATCTCCAGCAACATCTGATTCCTTTCTTCATCATTTTCAGATGTCCCCCACCTGCAGATCTGTTTTCCATCCTCACCCGCTGACCTGTCCAGTTGCCACTCAACAAATCACACTCCCAATCTTTAATACGGGGTTCAAGACCATTATTTCTCCTTCCCCAACAAGAGCAGTAGAAAAAAGTGGATGGAAAAGCAGTCAGGACATATTGAGGGGAGCTATTCTGCTGACCTACTCTCCCATCTGGGAAAAGCTCAGGTCAGATGATCTCAGTCAGAGAGTGGTGAGCAGCCTGAGGACCTACTCCGCTGAGAGTTAAAGGATAATGTGATATACTGGTTTATTCATCTCATATACAGTGATCGCAAGTGTCATCTCTGCATCAAGTATCATCTGCAGCTTCCCATATGGAGACCTGAAGGGGTTAGTTTTGTCATTTTTCCAATGCATATGTGAAGCCAGTCAGAGCATTAATGTGATAACATGGTCTGAAGAATCAATATTCTGGTGATATCAAGATCTATATCTCTGCCCTTTCCTACTAAGGCAATTCTATCTTGATATTTTCTCACTATTTTGGGGCCAGATTCACTCCTTTGGTTCTGCTAGCTCAGTGGCTCTCAACTTTTCCAGACTACTGTACCCCTTTCAGGAGTCTGATTTGTCTTGCGTACCCCCAAGTTTCACCTCACTTAAAAACTACTTGTTTACAAAATCAGACATAAAAATACAAAAGTGTCACAGCCACTATTACTGAAAAATCGCTCACTGTCTCATTTTTACCATATAACTATAAAATAAATTGATTGGAACATAAATATTGTACTTACCCTTCAGTGTACTGTATAGTATATAGAGCAGTATAAACAAGTCATTGTCTGGATGAAATGTAATTTGTACTGGCTTCGCTAGTGCTTTTTATGTAGCCTGTTGTAAAACTTGGCAAATATCTAGATGAGTTGGTGTATCCCCTGGAAGACCTCTGCGTATTCCCAAGTAGTTGAGAACCACTGTGCTAGCTGATCTCAGGTTTCAGGCTCCTGGTAGTAATATGTTCACATAGAGCTGGAACATGGTAGCACAAGCCTTCTGCAACCCAGTTCCAATGGGGAAGCCAGAGCAGGCCGCCGTAGCCCACATTGAGCAGGGCTGGCTAGCAGATGCTCTAATTCAGAAGTCTGGTGACCCTCTACTAGCAGGGTTGCTCTAGAGCTGCAGTTATAAAATAAAGCTGCTTCCCCCTACAAGGGAAAGATGGGCTGTGGTATCTCTGCCTGCCTTCTTCTGCAGGTTAATGCCTCAACCAGCACAGTGAGGTCTTGGCTTCATTTGTTCCGTATCTTGGTGCAGTCCAACTAGTCCCTTCCATGTTTCTGAGGTGGGGCCCCCATGCAGGATTCCATGTTCAGACATATCAAAAGCTGTGCAGTGGCCGAGCGATATCAGTACAGATATATGGCCTTGTCCATCATTGCCACCAGCGCTCCCTCTGTCCTGGTCTGAATCCTGACTGAGAGGGCTTCAGGACACTAGATGGAATTGGAGAAAAATCTTTGTGAACTTCCCAGTTAGCTTGCTCAGCAAAGGGAGATTAGACAGGAGGCAGTAATTAGCTAAATCAGTTGCCTCAAGAGATGGTTCCTTAAATACTAACTGGAATTAAGTAGTGTTTAGTGGTGGGACAGGCTCCAGCCAAGTCAACAAAGTTCTGAAAATAGGAGTCATTTCTGAGCAGGAGCTGAACATGGTTTGACGATAGTCAGGAGTGGCTTCTCTCACCTCTGAAATATTCAATATTGGTGACTTTTTCTCCTGGAGGCAGACCTCCCCGCAGTGATCCATTCCTAATGGATGATGCTTAGTTAGGATTATTGTAATGTGCTTTATTTATAGCTGCCTTTGGAAACAACTCACACATTACAGCTAGGGCAGAATGCTGCAGCGTAACTGCTCAGGGATTGTTTTTGCACCCAAGGGTAGATGAGAACCTACCTTCACTGTCTGCCTCCTATCCAACAAGCATTGCTGCCAAGATTGTGCAGCTTCTTGTGCGAGATGAGAGCCAATGAGCCCTATCATGGACGTTACTGGCTGTCTCATGGTGTAATCTCAAGAAGATGAGAGAGGGGGCCCACTA